TTTAAGAAAAAAAAATGTGTAGAACATGAATGACCTAGTCATGTACTAAGAATGTCATGTAGTACATTTATTCTTCTACATGCTTAAATATAATTACTTTTTTATTCCTCATAATTTTATCACAGCATATTGATCATAAATTATAAAAAGACAATACACAGATGTTGCTATAATAACCTTATTATGTGAGTATATTGTTATTATATTACTATGATTGTTATTTATCTCTTCTGTAGATTCTTAAACTCTTTTATTTCACACAAAATCCATGGATTCCTTAGAACACAAGAGATTGAAACAGACACAATAAAACTTCAAAGTTTTTTGATAAAAATTAATGATATAGTAATAACATAAATTTTCTAAATGAAAAGTGCTTAGAAAACCTCCGGAACTTCGAAGGAGTCCTTCTTTGGAAGGAACCCTTTCTGCGAAAAAGATAAAATAACGCGAAAGGCTAAACTTTCCTAATAAAAAAAAGACGTGAAAAAGATTTCGAAAAACCTGTAAGATGAAGCAATATATGAAGGTCACACGCGTATATGAACTCCCCAGGTTTACGGGAGATAAAAACTGTCACGACCGTGAAGTAACTCACGAGATTCGCCGGCGAGTAATCCTGGAAATAAGAATTATTCGACGTTCGCGCGGAAGACCTTACCTCACTCGGCCACAAATGAGTCCAAACAGCTTGCTACATAATTAAGTGTTTCTTATTATTCTTTGCGAGAAGATAACAAAGATATGAAAGATGTATAAAGCCACGCAACCTCCAAACACTTGCTACTTTTTTTTTTTGTATTTCATCTTCTTTCCTTCATGTTTGATGTCTCTCTCGTTCTTCTGTGTAATATACGTACGATCCCTAGATTTTTCTCAAGGTTACTTCCTAGCAGAGAGTATTAATGTATGGTGTCTATATAGCTTAGAGGTAAAAGTAGTCATCCGGAAAGCGAAAGGTCTCGGATCTAATTCCCTATCCACAGCAACACAACACAAAATTCGGTAATAGGGTTTATTCTTTCCTTGCCGAAATATAAAGGATCAAAAGAAGAACGTTGATAAAACGATGCGAAATTGATCTTTCTAATTGAGTTTGGCTTTTCGTTGGATTAATAGTTTGTGAATATCTATTTATAGCAAAGGATATTTATTTGAGAAAAAAATACTTATTCGAACCTAATTTTTAGAACCTTGATATAATATGATATAATATTTCATTATTGAAAAATTGATACATAATTTCTTTTTAATAGAAATATTTTGTAGACTACAAAAATAATTCTTGAATTACGATGTAAAAAATGGGAAAGAACACTTTTACTGATGTATCCAAAAATTTAGCTAGATATAAACCTGGAAACAATACATTAATTATTAAACTATCAAAATATTAATTACGTAAGAATTTCAAGACTGAACAATGTTATAAAAAGTTTTAACATTCTAATATCTAAGTTGAATGCCTTACATAATTATTTTAATGATTCAAACAAAATTATTTTCATATCTGTTGTATTTAGCTAAATTTTAAATATTTCAGCAAAATCCTTTTCATGAAGAATTACAAATCATAAAAATATTATTAATAAAAATACTAACCTCATTCTTTAAAGTTGATTTCAGATGGGTTTAACAAAATTTTGCATCAAAATATACTTACCATTATTTAAAGTTATAGTTATACCAATACTAACTTTTTCGCTAATGTATCGAAAAATTTCGCTTTCAAAGAAGCCAGTTTTCAACAGAAAATTTGCAATGCGTTTCTGTTTACTGTCGAACACCTCGTACACGTAATTGAAATTCGCAAAAAATGTAGCTCAGCTATTGCAACGACGATATGCACGTTTCCCCGATAAGAGTATACGCGCCGTTCGCGTCTCCTTCGCGAAAGACTGCCGCGACCAGACACGTTTCGCTAGTTGATTTTTATCGGCTCCCCGTACTTCGCAAACTGGATCAACCATGTTAATCGACCGTCCTAGACGTGATGTAACGTAGTACACTTTCTCCGCAATCCGGTGCAGTGGTTTCGGTGACCATTTAATATAGTTTACACGTCCAATAATCATGTTACAATTATTTGCAACCAAAAACTGTCCCACTGAAAATTATACGCAAAGAGAACAAATATAGATACAATAGTTTAAACATATTATAAGTTGAAGTTTTTAATATAAGAAAAAACATATAATTACACAAAATACAATAACAATATATTATTACATATATTGAAATTTATTATCTACATTTATATAACGTTACATTATTATGTACATCAGATTACATAGTTATAATTCACATTATAATATAATTTTTCATATTTTATATTTATTTTATATGTGCAATATACTAAAAAGGATTTAATAATAGAGCACATTTTATTGACCAAATAATTTAATTCTTTTTTAGTCATTAATTTTACATATCTCATCATTGAATATCACAAATACAAAAAATTATATTTATTTTATATTCTTGATAGTATTGATTGAATCTTAATATAATAGCTACTAAGGTTTTTATTAAAAAAACTTTCATTATACCAGATAATTAAGTCAATTATCCGATTTTTTGATCTTGTAAATATTAGTTTACAAGAATAATTATCTTGCGTTAAACTCGTGTTAAGAAAGAAAATCCAATAAGCATATAATGTGTTTATCCAGCAGATATTTTTTTAGTCACGAGATGTAATGTGAATATTGTAGTAATTAATCTATTCGTCAAATTGACGTTTTAGTAATTTAGTTTATTTAGCAACATAGTATATGAAAATTTAAATAAAAGAATCGTTTCATTGTCTGCTAAAAATTCTTATCGTGATTATTAAATTTAATACTTCTATTTCTAGTTAAATTAAAATCAATGCATTAAAAGTCTGTAATTATAAGGAAATCAACTGAATTATAACTTGTTTGTATTTCTGAAATTTAATTTTTGGTAAGCCCTTCACCTTTAACTGCTAATAACTTAAAATCTATGATCGTCAAGAAAAGATTTATTTCAAATTTGCCGAAGAATCCGTAGACGCAAGACACTTTATATATATTTTGCAATCACAGCGAAAATAGTTTCTACGATGAGTACGTAAATGAAAAGAAGAACCGATATCGCGAGTCAAAAGAAATGCTTCTAGCAAAATTGAACGTTACGTGCGCACGCATTCTTCTTATTGCACGGCAATGATATTTATGGAGCGAGATAAATACCTTGCGTTGCAGAAAGGAAACTACTCGGTCGATGATTGTCACGTGGTTTTCTTATATCACCTGTAATTGCCAAGATAAAGAATAAGATAAGAATTAATTCACGCCTACGAGTTTGCGATCTGACCCAGCATTATCGTCGCACAAACAAAACAGATTCTCGAATGTGTGTTACTTGTAACGATTGTGTTTGCAAACTTGTAAAACGAGTACAAACAGTACTTGAAAAAAGTTCAACTGTCATTTCAGAACACGACGGAAGTTTGCATACCATTTTCTCGATGCTAGAAATCATAAAATTCAAATTTCTTTCGAATCCAACATGCAATTCGACATTATAATTTTTTTTTTATAAAAATTAATATTGGCGCTGCAATTGCTGGTATTCAAGAGATCCAAACGGGGTATTAAAATATTGAAAAATTTAGTAATAACTACCAAATATGTTGAGTAAAATAATTTTAATCAAATATTTAATTAATAATTTTAATCAAATATCCAATTAATATAAAAATAATTAAGAAATATAATTTTACTTTTCTAAATATTTAGTATCATCAAACATAATAATATAACCAATCGTTTATTAATATTCGAAAAACTATAATTACATTTGGTTAGACGTTATATATTTGATTGAAATTATTTCATTCAATATTAGGTAGTTATAATCAGACTTTTTTCAGTTAAATTTAATAATAATCTTATGTTAAATAATCGTATATCTATAATCCGATTTGTAATCTAATAATCTTATAAAATTAATTACTGAATTAATAACCCTAATATGTGTGTGTGCGTGTGTGTGACGTTGTTAATAGTATTGTATTATTTAAATGCATGCTTTTATTAATAATATTGCTTTCACGAGTAAATATTTTAATGGAGTTGCATATTAATTGACATCACATCGCTTGTATACACGACTTAATCATATTACTATGGATTAACATTGAACAAGTGATTAATTAATTTATTCTGCTGATTAATGTATTGGTATTAGCTTCAATTTGCATATTTTCTTAAACTCGCGCTTACATCTCATTTATAAGATCACACTTTTTCACACACAGAGAGAGAGAGAGAGAGAGAGAGAGAGAGAGAGAGAGAGAAAGTTTTTTAAATTATTTTAAAATCAATTAGAATATAAATTCTACTTCGCGGGAAATAACTTTTATCTTAAATTTAAAAAATCGCATATTATAAACCTTAAACATGATGTAAAGCATATAGGCAACAGAGAATAAGACAAAATTTCAATTTATTAGAAACGTAAATACATTCTATATAGCTTACACAGTTTCTGATCGATATAGATTAAAATTCAATATTTCTTATTCTATACTTTTTATTGTGTTTCAGGCTGCGAACTTTGTATATCTTAACTCTCGCAACTCTCTTTTTCTCTTGTCGTATTAATATACCTCTTTGAAATTTCATATGAAACCTGTTGATTTTTCTAAAACCAACCCCTAATTGGGGACAAGTTTACTCCCGTTCTCGTGCAAATTCTCGGGGAATCGCGTTGCATATCTCGCGCTAATCGACGCGAACGATCGACGGGCGTTTATTTAACAAAAACCTCCATTCACGAGCCGGTAATCCGGCGCGGCGTGTTGGATCGGACGCGGCCGAATCGGCGAACGTGCCGGGACATGTGACCCCGCGGGATCTAACGAGCACGCGCATTACGACGCAAGTCACGCTCCCGTCGCTCCGCGCCGCTCCGGCACGTGGCCCGGGGGGCCCGTGCCACCTGCGTTCGCTCAGTATCGTTCGCGCGACCGATAAGTGACTCAAGTGATTCGCTCACGCGTGCTTCCGTAGATCGCAAAGAGACAAGGCGAAGGCCGAGAGGAACGAAGGAAAAGAGCCGGACGGTGTAAGAAGACAGATTGGTGAGTCCACGTGATAGATCCTCCGTAAAGATCTCCAAATATGCGAGAGAAAAAGCAAGGAATGTAGACGTTTCAATTTGTCGGAATATATACACGGAAGCCGATTCGTGCGCGCCTCGCTCGCGGGATAAACCACGTGCGCTCGGAATGCGCTTTACGCTCGCGCGATTGTGGCTAACGGTATTCCACGATGGCGAGAAACGCAGCTCGCGCTGCAGCCAATTGCGCTTAGAGACAGCGCCGGAGGAACGGCACGCGTAACCAGAGATAGATCGAACAGCCGATCTCCCGTCTCTTCCTGGTTCCAAACAGAATGAGACGAACCAAAGGCGAAACCGATCGCTAATCGCGATAATCCAGATTATCTGGTAGGCTATGAAGTTGACTTTTGAAAGCGGAAAGGTAAACAGATTTATTATTTCTAATCTGCATATCTCTCTCTCTCTCTCTCTCTCGATCCGATGAATAACGTTTAATTGCGTCGCGATGCTAGCGATATTCGTAATCCGATAATTTCTTATTTAAAAGGAAAAGAAGTATCGGTGTAACTCTTTTTATGACGACGTTATCTGTCACTAGAAGAAAGGTTTGCAATCTTTAATTGACAACATATGGTCCACGATATCTGATCGGTAGACTTTGTGCGATCCTAGTATATAAGCGCGTTAAACACAACGAGACTTTTTATCATCCACATAAAATGCATCTTAAATGATTAGATATCCCACGGTTAGATCACAGATCGTCTCGTTTAATCGTAAGAGAAAAAAGAAATGCACAAACAAGTGCTCTGTGTATTACATTTCAGTCGTTCGATAAATCGTGCGCGCGATTTTAATAATTGCTCCAAGTACATTTTCGCGATAAAGATCTTCTTGTGCTTTATTTACGTCAATTTAACCTCTAAGTTTTTGCCGCGAATCAGCAATCATGAAATTGTGTATCGGAAGGTCTAACAGGATAAACATAATAACGTTCGACTTTGTTCGGCTTTGTCTTCTCGACCTTCGTGTTCGATCGACGACTTTGTAAACTAATATTGGGAAAACTCTTTTGTGAATACGGGAATAGAGATTTTAGGATCTTACAAATGAAAATTTTATTTAAATGATATGAAATAAAAGTTTATACACTGTAAAAAATAAAATGTTAATTTTAACTCAAAGAGACGTTGAGTGGATTTTCTGAGGCATGCAAAAATGTTAAAATTAACATTTTTGTATTAATGTTAACATTTTTGCATGTCTCAGAAAATCCACTCAACGTCTTTGAATTAAAATTAACATTGTATTTTTTACAGTGTAAAATCTATAAAAATTTATAATTCACTTGGGTTTTTTAAACTTATAATTTATAAGAATTTTAGATTATTAACACCTTTATAATTCCTTTGGAAAAAGGTCATCTTGTAACTCTTATCAAAAATTTGACTAGGTTCACAACCTCGCTTTAAGAGGCCCTAAGCCGTAAAGCCGTAAGAAATTGACCAATCATAGTTGAATGCGAGAAAAATAATCTACTGTGATTGGTCAATTTCTTACGGCTTTACGGCTTAGGGCCTCTTAAAGCGAGGTTGTGGACCCAGTCTTTAGAATACAAAACACTTCGCATTCCTATGAAGTTATCACTATCAATTGAAAAAAATTAAAGTAACTCAAATCATATTGTTCTTTCGCTTTGAATCGAAGAGAGATATGTTGATATACAAGATCTATTCGTGTTACTTGAAATTCTCAAAAATGTTTTACTAAAATCATTAATTTAACTGAAACAACGAAAATGAGCAATTTAACTCGAGAATTAAAATAGGTGTATTAAATTTGACTCAAATTTATTTATTATTTAATAAGGATGTTCACTTTAAAACATGACCACAAAAATGGATTGACTTATAATAGAGTTTAGAAATAAACAAAATGTTTTAAATATCTAATGCCCTTTGCGATGTTTAAGTAGCGTAAAATGTGTTGAAGAGAGAGAGAGAGGGAGAGAGAGAAATGAAGACGTCGAGTGTAAAAAGTGCAGGCACGCGGACGAACCTATAAAAAAATATGATTCCGGTTAACGTTCATTATTTGCTCATAAAAATCAGCTTTCGGTCCTCTGTGTTAAAATGTCTGATACACACGACGCATTTCCATCGCATTCTCGTTATCAGTTCGCCGTAAGAGAACGACAGAATCTGGCGTGTACGCGCTATTTTTTGTCAGCGTCGCGAGAGACAGATGTCCACGTGGTCGCGCGAGCGGCAATTGTTGAGTGTCACTCGCATCGCGACTACGTGAAAAAGCGCCGCACGTCTCTTCTGCTGGGCTGTTCTTCATCGCTCTCGCTTTCGTCTTTCCACACTCTACGCAATTCGCGTCTACCGCATCGCGAATCAGCGTCCGTAGTCTTTAATCGTACGCCTCTCGCGTGTCGTGTTCCGCATCGTCGGTGTGTGCACCCATATATCGCAGTGCCGGGATCGTCTGAACCTGAACGAAGGAGAAGAGCGGCGAGCGTTACGTAAATCTGGGTAGGAAACTATTTTTCTCTCACTTCCTTTTTTCACATCGCTTCCGTAATGCATCGCAAACATATCAAATCGTAGGTAAAAAGAGAGGGAGGGAAGTATTTTAGAACTATCGTCATTAGATTTGCTCTCGTTGTTTGCATGGCACTCTTTTCTTCTCTTTGTAAATTGCTCGTTTTGTATCGAAAGAATCGATCGAATTGTGTGCAAATGAAAACATCTCGACGATAGTTTTTAACAGCTACATTGTATACTTTCTTTATTGTTTATCGCGTGAATTATACTGGACGGGAATGTATTTATAATCTTTATAAGTCATTAAAAATGATTAACTTTCATAATAAAACTCGACGTATATTAATGATGATAGCTCTTCAAGTTTTTGCCTGAAAATCTTTAGAGAACGAGAATACTCATATACATTTTACAAATGTATTTTGTTCAGTACTTAAAATTTCAACGTGGCGCTCTTATACATATTTAACTACATATACTACTTTATTTTTCGTTATCCATGCGCGAAATAAAGATCAACATAAAAGTTACGAAGTTATTTTTCAAAATATTTTCTATAATTTTTTTTTTAATTGGAAATTTTAAATAGCTTTTAAAATTTTTTTGTTTAAAAATTTGTGCATATAAAATTATTTTATGTACATAAAAACGGATATTTATCTTTAATAAAATATAAATTAGAGAAAATATTTCGTATATTTTGCTTTACCAGGTTCTTAAATAATCCAAGATCTAATGGGTGGTTTCGCAAATCACGTAACGAAATACATGAAAATTTGCGGAAACGATGTGGTCGTGTTACAAAATAAAGACGAAATATTCATATAGTATAACACGCAAAATTAGTTCGAACGTCTCGATATTATTCCTCGTCAATCCAGGCAGTGTTTACGTTTTCGCGGAATGTACTGTTAGTTTCAAGGCCCTCAAGGCCGATCAAAGCGGTTAGTTATAGATTACACACTCAAATGAAAGCGACCTTGTAGAAATTCTCTTTGAAAACTTAAATCCCCAGGGTAACGTCCGACCGTTAAATTGACGATTTCTACGTCAAATATAAAATTAATAGAACATTAATTATTATTAAAATAAATAGAAAATTAATTACTGCATAAAGCGCTATAATTCAACAGGATGATAATAGAACGTATGATAATACTTTTACGTTAAATTTGTTTTCAATAAAAATTTGTCTCTTCTGATCTTTGCCTTAATAAAAGACACTTTCTTTCTCATGAGATTTTTATCAGACATCGATATATAATCTGAAATGAACATTATATCTTTTCGTATCTGTAAAAGATCGTATTTGCTCCCGTACGTTTATCTGATTTCTGCGGATTAATCGAAATCGTGAGAGTCTCGGAAGTCTCTTCTTGCCTTGGGGCTCCTCTGGGACGTAAAGACGACGCTGGAGAAAGAGGCAATCAGGCTGAGGAATACGCAGACATTTGCACTTTTCAGTGACTCCGTGAACGATGGTATCCTCGACAGTGACGGAAGCGAGCCCGGTGAAAAAATCATGCGGCGCGATAGGCATTGCGCCGGGAGATTATCGCCTGGTTGGCTGGGACCTGGACACCACCGGCAAGAAGGTCATCGACGAGATCTGCCAAATAGCCGGGTACACTCCTAACTCAACTTACTCACAATACGTGATGCCGTACAAGGATCTCAATCCAACCGCCATAAAGCGTCACAGTATGAAGGTCGTCACCAATGGCAAATTCCGAGTGCTCAGGAATAGTAAAACCAACGAGGTACGAGGCGTAATACCAAATATCATTGCTCCGCGATTTGCTTCCCGTATAAGGGAAAGAGAATTCACGGCGAAAACGCTGAGATCCCCGAATATTTTAATAAAAATTAAAAAACGCAAATTTTCTTATTACATTTTTTAAGTTGAAAATTACTTCTTAAATAATCTTAAGCACAATTTTTAGAGAAATTGTTTCTAATCTTTTATATAAAAAATTAGAAACTATATAGAACTAGAAAAAAAAAATATATAGGGTATAAATATTTTTCTTCTTCGAAGCAGTAAAGAATTTTATCAGTTACCAAAAAAGGAAAAAAATTGATACCTCCTTTCTCTTAAATACATATATAAAAAATGATTTGTATTCTCACAGGTAATCAAATCCAAAAGTGAAGTATCAGCACTTACGGATTTCCTAAGTTGGTTAGAAACCATAAAGGAAAACGCTGCGGACGGTGTAATTCTGGTTTACCACGAGCCGCGCAAGGTCATTCCCGCGATGCTGCTCGAGTCGTTGAAGAAGTACGATCTGGTAGATCGATTCAAGCAAACGGTCAAAGGATTCGCGAACGGATTCAACATCGCCGAAGAGAAGTGTGCGAACTCTGCTCATATCTATTCCCTTCGTACTTTATCGCGTACATTACTGAAGAAGGTGAAAAAATATATCCTATATTATACTGAGTATAATTTTTAACATAATTGAAAGAAAATGGATAATTGTTCAATCTTTCAAAATTCTAAAAGAAAATAGAAAACATAATCCTGAATAAACATCCATTTTTGATAAATGACAATTTAATCAGCAACAAATTATTTCTATATGTAGAAGATATTCTGTACACACATAAAATTTAAATGTAATAAATGTTTATAAAAATTGATAGCTTAGTAACAGTAAGTTAGTAAACAAGGTAGTGTTACAGTCTTGTAAATATATTGTATATATATATATATATATATATATATAT